TTTTATTTTATTTTATTTTATTTGGCGGAACTGGGGATTGAACTCAGGCCCTTGCACTTGCCAGGGAAGTGCTTATTCCACTGAGTCATCTCCCCAGCCCCACAAAATGACAAAGAGAAGGAGCAAAAATACATTCTCAGGCCCCAAGCCCACCCAGAACAAATTCAGGAGACACTATCATAGAAGAAATTGGAAAGCACACACATCAACTCTCTGAATTAATACTGTCTGAAATAAAGAAAAAACTGCAACAACAAAAGTTTTATCAATGAATAAAATCGTTAGACTTCAAAAAAAAAAAAAAAAGAAAAACTGCAGAAAGGTATGGAGGAAATCAGATCAGAAATAATCTCTGAAATAAAAAAGAAATGCTTTTTCTTTTTTTTTTTATTTTACAGAAGGGTCTACAGGGACTTCAGGGTCTCACAACTAGATTGGACTCGTAGTGACCCACTTTCTTACAGCCTCCCAAGAGCTAGGATACAGGTGTGCGTGCCACCACTCTCACTATCAATTGCCCTCTCATGTGCACTGGAGGTGGGGCCCGCATAACTGGTTCAGGGATTGAACCCCTGCCCCTGTGCCGGCTTGCAGGCGCTTTAATCCGCTGAGTTATCTGGCTGGCCCTAAGAAATAACTTTAATGGAACATTTACTAAGTGCTTCTAAAGAAGAAACTGATAAAAGAATAGAGGACAATAGAAAAATGATGGAATCCTTCAATGAGCACTATAGCAAAGAAATAGAATGCATGAAGCAGATTCAAAGACATACACAGGAAATTAAAACCTGAATCACAAGAGGGCAAAACTGTTTTAATGAAAGTGAGATAGACTTTCAGACCTTGAGGACACTGTTGAACCTAGTGAAAAGGTAAGAAAAGATCTCTTAAAAACAACTAGGATAAAAAACAAACAAACAAACAAAACAAACCAACTAGGATGCTGGAAAAAATAATTCAACATCTGCAAGATGATGCAAAGATGAACAATGTAAAATTAATAGGCATCAATGAGAAAGAAGTCAATACAAATGATATAAAAAGAATGTAGGCAGAAGTAATAGCAGAAAACTTCCCAAATATGGGGAAACAATCTGACATTCAGTAACCAAAGCATATAGAACTCCAAATAACATCAACCCAATTAAAACCACACCCAGACATACAATAATCAACATCCCAGAAATTCAGCATAAGAACAATATATTCAAAGCTACTAGAGAAAATAAACAGATCACATTTAAAGGAAAACCCATCAGACAAATGGCAGATTTCTCTTCACAAACCATCTAGTCAAGAAAAACATGGAGCAAAGTACTACAAGTCTTGCAAGAAAAAAAAAATCCCAAACCAGACTGATATACTCTGCAAAACTGTCTTTCAAGTATGATGGAGAAGTGAAATACTTGCATGACAAAGAACAACTAAAGAATTTCATGATGACAAAGCCAACGCTACATAGACTATTAAAAGATATTCTAGACAGGGACCAAAATGACCACAACTCCATGAATAAGAATGGAAAGAACCCACCAAATAGGGCAAACAATTAAACACAGGGGGGAAAAAAAAGAGGTATACAACAGCAGGTAAATAACATGTCAATCATAAGGCAATACATCTCAATTGTAATCATCAATGTAAATGAATTCAATTCACCAATTAAAAGAAATAGACTGGCACAGTGGATTAGGAAGCAAACACAACAATATGCTATATACATGAAATGTATTTAACTCATAAAGAAATTCATAGGCTGAAAGTAAAAGGATGGAAAAAAATTTTTTTTTAAATCTTAGGTATAGGGTCTCACTACACAGTCTGGACACATAGTGATCCTCCTGTCTCAGCCTCCCCAGAGCTGAAATTACAGGCATGCACCACCATGTCCGGTTTCAGTGGCCAGCATGGAGAACTCAGGGCTCCAGGGCCAGCACAGCATGTCGTACTGGGGATTGAACCCAGGTCCTTGCTCTTAGACTGCTGAGCTATCTCCCCATCCCCCCTCACTTTTCTACTGTATCAATATTAGCTAAGTGATCATGCCTTTAATCCTACTGGTAATTGTAGTTAGAACTACATACTACACACATTCTGATTTTGCTGGAGAAAATAATCTTGGAGAAAGAACTTCAGTGTCTACTCCAGTGGCAACTTTCCACACCCCTCCTACCTTTCATGAGTTTTATTTCAATAAACATTTCCTACTGTTAACCTCTTTTGTTCTCAAAATTCACTCTTTGACATTTGGGAGACATAAGCGTGGCACATCTAACATCTAATGGGTTTAGGGTTATATTTTCCTCAAATTTCCCTCATTTGGGTCAACAGTCTATGGCTCATTCTAAAACAGTGTTTCAAAACATTTACCAAAACTTTTGCTGAAAATTGACTTTTGTCCCCTGCCACTTTTATTTCTTAAGCAGAAACATGGCAAAAAATTGACTACAAATTCCTTGTCTTTGTGTTTTCCTTGGTTGGAAGTATTGTTCCTAAACTGGTTTCTTTTTCTCATACTAGAAACCTTAAGCCAGGATAAAATCTATAAACTTCTAATGAGTTATCCCTAAATTTTAGCACAATGAAAACTGTCTTAAAATTTGAGATGAAAGCTTTTAAACTGATTAAGGCAACCCCAAAAAAGAGCTTTAAAAAATTCAAACCCAGCTGGGCATGGTCTAATCTCAGCACTCAGTGGCACTCTGAGTTCAAGATCCGCCTGCATTACAGAGCTAGACCCTGTCTCAAAAAAAAAAAAAAAAAAAAAGAGTCAAACCCAAATTAACTAGGCAAATAATCCTCTTTGACATGTATATTTTTCACCTTGCTACAACCTGGAAACCTACCTTTAGACATGCCAACTATGAAAAAGAAAATCATAACAATAGTATAATGGTTTAAAAGCTGGTAAATAATTAACTTTATTTGTTTTATGTGTATGTTGGCATAAATGTATGCACTATAATGTTTTATGTATATATGTATTTGCATTTGTGTGGTGTCTGTGTAGGATCAAATTAATTTAAAAATAAGAGCACCCAAGGGCTGGCGAGATAGCTTAGCAGACTAAGTGCCTGCTCAGGCAAACGCAGGAACCAGAGTTTGATCCTCGGTACCCCTTGGTACCGAATGCCTCACTAGCCCCGCCCTTTGGGCACACTGAACAGGTGACCAAGTCCAGGTGGTGGTGCACACCTGTAATCTCAGCACTGGGGAGGCTGAAAACAGAAGGCTCACTACAAGTCCAAACCACAGAGTGAGATGTATTCTATGTATTTATTTAAATACATAAAATAATAATAATAGTAAATAAAAATAAGAGCACCCAGTCACTAAAACAGAGTAAATCTAAATGTCATTTTGCTTTTACGTCGGGAGCCCTGCATGAGTTCTTCTGTGCTACAAGCAATGGCATCGTTTTGCAGAGGTATATTGGAATGTTTATGTGCAAATGCCAAGTTGAATGAGAAAATTCCAAAGCGTCTGCCAGAAGCTTTAGTGGGAAAATACATACTCAAAACTTGACAGCCACACCAGTGTCTTGGGCATTGATGCAGTGAAGCTGTAGATGTCTCTGGCCAGCCGTTTCATTTTAATGGAATAATGGGCATTACCATGCGCCCAGAAGCCACCTTGGTGGGAGTTGCCTAAAGTGGATCAATTTCTGGCTAGTGCCATAATTATTTTTCTGTTGCATGAAAAGCTGATGAGAACAAATGGGAAAATTTGAAGAAAACAACTTTGAAAATTGGGATTGTATTGATTTTCTTTCTCTTGATATTGGAGATTAGCATTACAGACCCTAGACAAATAGTTTATAGATCATAAAATAGCACTCATTTCTTTAAATGAGAAGTTCTGGGCTCTTAGCCTTTGTGGAGAATGACTGGATCTCAGAATTGCCCAGACTGAGGTCAAACTTTCATCCTCTTGTCACAGCCTGTCAGTATAACTGAAAGTTTCCACCAAATGATGGAACAGCATTTTGTAAAGCTGGCCCAGCTTGGTCACTCAATGACTTATTAGTCATGGAATATCGAAACCTAATA